CCCCCGGCCCCGGGGGTTTCTTGTTCCCCCCCCCCCCGCCCCCGGCGGCGGGGCCCCGGATCCCCGACAAGGGTCCCCCCACCCCGGGGGGCCCCCCGCGGGCGCCTCCCGGTTCCGCCCCTCCCAAGTGCACGCGTCCCACCATGACCCCTGTCCCCGGTGGGTTTCCCAACACCCCCCCCCCGCCGCCGTCAGGGAGACCGCCCCCGGGGGCGGCGGGTGGCACGGCGGTGGGATTCCACCCGGGCCCCACGCCCAAAACGCCTCCGCCGCCGCCGCCGCAGAGCCCACCGCCGTCGGCACCCCCCCCCCCGCACGCGGTGTGAGGGGGCAGGTCGTTCACCCCCATGTCCATGTGGCTGTGGTGGCTGTAGATGCCACCGCCGGGCGTGGGCGTGGTGTCCATCTTGCTCGAGTAGCCGCTGAAGGTGATGCTGCAGCCCTCCTCCTTGTTGTTGTTGCCGCTGCTGTCTTCGAAGCAGCCCCTTACTCTGCGGGCTGTTCTGAAAGGGGGGTCCTGGATCATGTCTTCGGACGGCGGGACTTTCCCTCGGTAGGTCGCCTGGATATCGTAGGTCGTATGTTTTTGGCGGTGACGTTTTCGGTTGTTGTTGTTGTGGTGGTGGTGGTGGTTGTTGTTGTTGGCATCGCCGGGTGGTGGGGAAGGTAGCCAAGAACCACGCAAGACAGGCAAAGGAACACGGGCAGCATAGGTACGGGGCAAGCAAGCAGACATGGGCGGTGTTTTAGACAATTAAATTTGAAGGAGGAGAGGAAGTTGGACGTTCTGTCTGTCAGGAGACAGAACCGAACCGAAACACACGGGTGATGCCATGGTGACAGGATTTGCCTATTGAACTAACTGTCGGCGGTCCCAAGATCAACACCAATCCACAGTCGGCCGCACTCCAAGCGGCAGCAGCAGCAGCAGCAGCAGCAGCAGAAATCCCTCCAACTACAACGCGCACACCCCACTTCATGTCATGACTTATCTGGATCATACGAAAAAGCAAGAACTTGATTGATGGAACACGGGAGACCTCTCCTCGCTCAACCCTGATCCCAATTCACTCCGTCCCCTACCGTCCATCGCCCCCCCCCCCTCTCAACAAAACCGCCGCGACGACACCACCAGCAAAAACAGCGTCCACCCACACACCTCCTGTCTTGGAAGCTCGGCCACCGATACGTCTATCTCCGTGACCCCTCTCGAGTGGAGGTACGGGAGGGTGAACTCGCGCAGCAAGCGGGAGAACAGGAAGTGCGACAGCTCCTCGGCGGTGGAGTGCACCAGCGGCAGCAAGGGGCAGTCATCCTGGACCGCAGCAAGCAGGTCCGTAGGCAGCAAGCAGCACAGGGGGGGGGGGGGGGGGGGGTCTCCTGTAACCGACAGTACGAGTACGACGACATAGTGCGTTGTTCTGCGGCATTCGCCGTGATTATGAAAGAGGGTTGGTGCACCCTGGAGGGGTTGGTACCCTAGGGGGTCCCGCCCCCCGCAGATTGTACAGACGATCGTCTCTACAACGTGCAGCAGACAGCCAATGCCGCCATTGAAACCCTGAAAGACGTGCAAGCATCCACGTTCACGCACTCCAACGGTCGTATCGTGTTGTCCGCTCGCCCGTGCCGCTGCACAAACACACCAACGAGACAGAGAAAGCATGGCAACACAACAAACGCCCGGCGCAACTTCGATTTACTGATGTCTGGAGCAGTAACGTCAGGCATCTTGAATCAAGCAACCAAGCACAACACGCGAGAAAGTCAGTAAGCGAAGGAAGGTAGGCCGGTCGGTGCTTTTTCCTGTCCGGTCTCGATCTTCGAACTTCATTCTTCCGCCGCTGGTCCTATCTACATCCAGCGATGTCGACAAGGTTTAGGTTTCGGGTTCTCCCTCGGGGGAGTGTCGCCATCGACATCCATCTAGCTACTATCTCCCGGAGCCATGCGGCGTTGGTAGATACTTGGACTGCCTACGCAAACAGTAAATTAATAAAAGCGAATATTACGACAAGAGACCAGGGAGGGGGCACGCAGACCGTAACCCTAACCCCAATATAGCCGATTCTATGCCATATTCAGTATGTTTGCTTACTTGGAAAAACCTGCGCAGACTACCGGGGGGAATCGATGCCTATTTCATCACACGTCACGTCAAGTGGCAAGAAATTTACATGACAACGTGGGTGTGTGCGTACACGGTGAAAAACACAAGTACGTCGTGCAAATAAAAAACAAAAAACAAATCATTTTGTGTGAGCACGTGTGCACACGAAGCAACGCAGGTAAAGACGTCGAATCACACAACGGACGAACTCCCTTTTCTCACCCGCGGAAGCACGAAAGTTGCCCCGTCCTGGCAAACAATCACCACCTGTCGGGGGGAACAACGCCCATCACGCACGCGAGCACTTGAGACTGACCACGTCTTCATCGTCCAGACGGCTATTTTTCTGTGTAGCGCGGTCGATGATGCTATAACAACAAATCTGGCAACAGGTCAGCCAAGCTGCTTTTTTACGTGGTCGGTGTCGACGGAGGAAACACGCGGATGCACACACGCCTTCTGTTATTGCTACGACATCTGTCGCTAACACGGAGAGCAGCATAGCCTCGCCCATGCCGCCCCCTCACGGGGTCCCGAATCGTGGCCTTTCGAAGCATCTTGTGTTTTCAACAGCACTGAGACTGACGTCTTCTTCATTGGCCAGCCGGTTAGTTAGCGAGGTCGATGCTAATAAATAAGAACACGCGCACGGCGGTTGGACCCACAACGACACGACATCGAAATCACACATACATATTATGTACACTTTTTGCACGGTTACCTGAGAGCCCGTGAGGGTGATCTCGAGAGCGTCACTCTCCATGGGGCACAGAAACCGCTCGTTGAGCCCCTTGCACAGCTTCCGCATCACCTGTGTGATACGCGCGGGACAAAAAATGAAAGCAACCACGCCAACACAAACCGCACGCACGCACGCATCGCGTTGCGACCGAAACACATGGTGCAGTTAGTGGGGAGCAGGTCAGTCAGCACGAACAAAAGTCACCCTCTTCTGGCGTCCGTTTGTTTTGTTTGTCTGTCCCCCCCCGTGTCTTGGAGGTTGGAGACTAACCCACGCGTACGTACAACGGGGCAGAAAAATCGCTGTGCCATCCAACGGGTTCGTTCGTTATTGTCTGTCGGTGTGGTTGCTGCTGCATCCCGCTGTACACAGAGAAGAACAAGGCGAGAAAATCTATCCCAACACGTGCATGCATGCCACAGGGCCGCCGCCAGCACGGGGTTTGTATACCTTACCTTCTTCACAATCCCGAAATCCACCACGTAGCCGTCCTCGCAAACCTGCAAACATCAGGAAACAGAAAAACATCCACCGACGGCGGGTTGTATCGCAATCAGCACGGTACAAAAACGGAGGGCAGGAGGTATGGGTTTCGTCGCCGTGCTCTCACATTACGTTACAATACATTACTTAACATTAAATTTCACTACATTACATGCATCATTACGTAAATGCATACATCACTACGTAACACTACATATTACAATATATATATCACACTACATAACACTACACTACACACTGCAGTACACTATGTAAGTACATGCATCATTACGCTAAACTACATTACACTAAATCGCAGTACATTACACTAAAGAAGTAGAGGTACATCACATTTACACTACACATTGCAGCTGGGAGGGAACCGACTGCCGAAAGGGTCGCTCGCCGCGCGGAACGACAAGAACAACCAGAGCAAGAGGAGAGGCCACCCCACCCCCCAACCCCCCCCGTTCCCGGCGTGGGTCTTCCCTTCCCTTCCCTTCCCATGTTTTAAATAGTTTCTCCTGGGTATACGACTCCCCAAGGCATCTATCTTCGTCCGCGGTCTGGCTTGGCTGCCTGGCTGCTGCAGCCGCGGCGATTTTTTTCGGGTTCGCGCAGCAATGCGCAATTACCACCAATACAATTGCTTCGGAAAACCCCGAAATGTGTGAAAATCTACAAAAAAACAACCTCTCAACAGTAATTCCGATATCCGTGTCGGGAGACAAAGACAGCCCAACCGGTGCATCGCCTTCCCCGACACCCCTCTAACATTCCCAACCGCTCCCCCCCCCCCCCCCCATCCTGAGCGGGACGTAGCACGGGGCCGGCCCCTCCAGCCAGCCAGCTTCGCTCTCCCCCCGTATAAACTCAACACCGAAGGCTCTTTTAACTCTTGTCGCACGAAGCATACAGTACCCCTCCACACACGAACGCCTAAACAAAACAAAAAAAACTCTCCCGCTCTCCCGCTCTCTCTCTCTCTCTCTCTCTCTCTCTCTCTCTCTCTTACCTCCCCCCTGAGCCGCACGCCGCACGAGTAGTTGTGCCCGTGCAGGCGCTCTCTGAACCCATCGAAGGCCACGAAGTGCGACGAGCTGAACTTGAAGTCCTCCTTGGCGACGTAGACCTCGAACCGCTCCGGCGCGGGAGCGGCGGCAGTAGCGGCAGCGGCGGCGGCGGCGGCGGCAGATTCTGCTCCTGCTGCGGCGGCTTCTGCGGCGGTGGCGGTGTCGTTGTCACCTCCCCGGCGTGCTGTCGGCCGCGAGGCAAGGCAGGACGAAATGCAGGCAAGAAGATGGGAGACGCCAACGAAAGGGGCGGGGGGGGGGGGGGGGCGTATGCCTTGGCGGTTAGATCGCCGACCGCAGGGGGAGGGGGTGCCAAACAGTTGGGTCGCAAAAAACTAAAAATCAGGGTCGTACGCTCGTTCGCCGCAGCGGAAAATATAGCATAATAGCAAAACGTGGTGGCCCAAGACCAGGAGCATGCGTGCAGAGCGCCCAAAGTCATGACCGAAAAATCGACAAAGCATAAACCGGTCGAACGCACCGTACGAGTGTGGGGTGTGTCCATCGGAGGGTTTCAAAATCCCCATTTTTTTCCAGCGCATGGACAAGAATGGAAGGTATGAACCCTTTCATATCATCACAAGAAAGGGCACGCCGCGGGCAGTGTCTAGACGACCTCTTTATCCTTTTGCTTTTTCGTGCCTTCCACGGCTTCAGGCTTCTAGGGTTGACCCACGTCGGCTACGGGGTGGATCGATCTCCCATGTCCTCCGAAAAAAAAGAATTCAACCTCGCCACCCCCACCGCCAAAAAAGGCAAAGATCTGTGTGTGTGCAGCCTAGCCGGGCACTTACGACAAGGTCTAGGTTTGCAGGTGGGGGGGGGGACAGAGACTATGCCCGAGGAACACGAGAGGCAAGTAGCTGCGTTCGCTATTTTTGTCATATGGCCTAAAGGGGAGTATTTCTTATTACGTCTTTCGCGGTGAGTGGACAACCGGATATCTATGTTGATTGGGGAAACATACACCTAATCCAGGAAAAATCTATATCCTAAGTAGGAGGTAGCTGCTGCTCATAAGCGCTGGTGCACGACCCTCCCCCCCCGGCCTACTGCCAACACGCATCATGTCTCAGAGAGAGAGAGAGCGAGACAGAGAGGGGCAGAGAGAGAGAGAGAGAGAGGAAGACGCACGAGTCACCTGTCGCATGTGGTTTTCGCTTTGAGGCCTTGGTCGGTGAGGGGCTCTCACCGTTGCCTCCTCCTCCTCCGTCCCCGGGGCCGCGGCCGTCTCTGACGCTGCTGCTGCTGCTGCTGCTGCTGGTACCGTCCTTGCCCCTCAACCTCGTCTTCCGAACCAGCCGGCCACTCTGCTTGTCGAGCGCCATGAGGTCCGCCATGAGCGTCACGTACTCCTTGAGAGGCCGTGGGCAAGGCCTGATCTGCCCGACGCCGCCGACCTTTGGTTTTTGTAGCGCAGGGGGTGAAAAGAAAAAAAAACAAAAACAGGGAGAACAACGAGGCGTTAGCACCCGGGCTACAGAGCGATAATCCTCGATCCCTCTGGTTGACAGGTCGGGGGGTTGAGCTTTGTGCACTCACTTACGAACAATAATTTGCCAACCCGATGCTCATCCATTTTTATTAGTTGCTGTGTAGAAGAACTGGTACATAATTAACAAGACAAACAAGCGCAGAAGAAGTAAGGCGTGGGGCTGTAGGCGGGTGAGCTGACGTAGGAGATGCTTCAGAGATGGTACTCCAATCGTATGCATAGGCCTAGGCCAGAACGTACGGTAGAAGGAACCCGACAACACTTAGTTTCTGACTGTTTTCTTTCCGACCACCAAAGATGCAGCCGCTCCCTCTCGTGGTATAACTGCAGTGTACCATGCATGTATGCACATGCGTGGGGGTGGGGTGGGGAGACCTATCCCGCTTGCTTGTCGACATCATCACCGCCAAAAAAATGCTGTACCTCGTACTATAGCTGGTCACTAATTATGTACCAGGATACCAGGATGATGCGACTTGTCTGGTATCCCGGCTGTCGCGGCAATTCTTTCTTTGACAGCGAGATAACTCATTGAATTCTGGGCATGGCGTTTGGGTCTGCTACATTTCAGTCCACCACACGTGCACACACATGGTACACCGAATCTTGATATGTACATAATGTTGCATGTAATTTATGCATACGCTGTGCACATGTATATACAGGTCCCTTCGTTTTCTCGCTATGCCCGATTTTCCCGTGATAATAGCGTACAATGTAGAGACGATGCAAAGAGTGTGGTCCTCTTGTATCCACACGAGAGGGTCGAGGGGGCCGTTGCCACACGACCCTCTAGCATCACACCGGAACCACGACTGCTCTGTGCGGCGGTAGACGTCAACATGTTTATCAAACACAACGAGTCACTTGGGGTACAACATGCATGTATGTACCATACATGTACTGCTCAACTGCTACCTTATCCGACGGCGGCGTATCCTCGAGCGAGGCGAGAACATACGACACATACATACGCGAACAAACATGTACGTAGCAAGCACTGCATGTGGAGATGGATGTGAGAGGAGTGTGGCACAAGCCTACGTTCGTATACCCTCGATCTTCCCGAGAGGCTCGCACGTGTCGTGTTTTCACTTTACTTCGCCTTTGGAGCAGGTTGCCTGGGGGGTCTCTGTATCATGAATGAACAACGTTTTGGCGTCACGTGTACATACGTTGTTGGAAACCAACCAGAATCTTTTCTTTCTTGCAATAACCGCTGCAAACCCGTTGCGTACGCGGTTGCGTGAAAGCCAGCCACTCTGTGTGCGGACGGCACTTCTCCCTTCGCGCTTTGGTCGCGGGGGCGGGGGGCGTGTACGAATCGTGCAGAGGGGTCATACGAGCGAGTTAAACGGTCTCCCTTGGGAGCCAGCCCTGGGCCGTCTATTCTCCCTCAATAACCGACATACACAGGCTGTTCGTGAACCCCCGGTTCCACACAACGTGGACGATCTTGTCGCCCAGCAATCGATCCAGCATAGCTCGGCTAAACAGAGTCAAGCAGCAGCAGTAGCAGTAGCAGCAGCGGTAGCGGTGCCAACTCGCTGCGGGGAGCGTTGCTAGGCCGCAAGGGGACCGACTCCGACGGCGGCGGGCGCAATTTCAAGGTCTCGCCGCAGCAACAACAGCAGCACGACTCAATGATGTGTATATCCTCGTGGGCGCTGCGCAATTCCCACGCCGTACCCGTCGCATTCGACCCGCACCCCGCGAAAACACCACGCTGCTGCTGCGCGGCGAGCGAGGTTCAATTCCAGTACGTGGGGCCACCTCTCTCTGCGAGAGGCTCCCAAAAGTCGGCCACATGTTCGAGATTCAATTTCGCCTGTCTGTGGGCTGTGGGCGCAGCAGGTCTACACTACCAACTACAGCGAGCGAGAGCCCGCTTCAAAGCAGGGAGCAATTCACACCGGCATCCGGCATGGAGATGCACTCGGTGCAAGAGGGCGAGATGCGAAAACGTGGATGCTGTGTTCGTCTAAGAACCACCATGGCCGGCAGCAGCGTCCGACTTTTTGTCAACAACTCGGACACACATAGGCTTCGGAAATCTCTTACCCCGAGGATATGCTGCGCAATTCTCCTAGGCGCGCCCGTGTACACCGTTGAGCAACTCTTGCACCTCCAACGAGGATTCGGTCCACTCCTGAGGACGTCCACAGCACTCCACTCGCCTGATCTGGTCATCGTGCAAGAAGCAGAGGCAATTTGTTGCCAGCATTGGGTTTGAGCTGAAAGAGCGGGGGTGCGGGGGGGGGCTGACAAAATAGCCAGAGCTACACGCGGGCTAATAACGTTCCCAACAGAAACATGCGCAGCCGAAGAGGAAAATTCTTAATCTGACACCAGCTCTGCGCCGAGCTCCTAGCAGGCTTCCGTTGTCCGCTTTTCCTCCCTCCTTCGCGGATACAGATCCCTCCCTGGCTGCAGGAGGGAATCATTTGATGCCGTTGACCGAGCTTGACACGCAGCAGCAGATAATTTAGTCAGAGCCTCGAGAAGACCATAGACTAAACTTCCAGTAACTGCACCGCCATAGACCAAGCCTATTGAGCGGAAGATGCGATTCTACGACCCGCTTGCCACGTCCATGCGAACCTGATCAATGGGATTTCCTTATCCCGTAGACAGAGAGCAGCAAGCGGCCAGCCGTTCACCGTTCACACGACGGCCACGGCGCGCGAGGGTGTACCAACAGCAAAGAGCGACCAGTAATGTGTAATGTGGCCGTGGTTCACATGTACGGCGCCCCCCTACCCTCTCTGACCATCGCGTAGACCCCACCCACACTGCTGTCTCATTCACAGCACAACCATTGCGGTTTCGTGCGCTGGAGGCGCTACTGTCGCTGTGTTGTGCGCTACACATCAATAGTTGACCCTGTCAAGGCCCCGGACGAACGAAAGGTAAGTAAATCCTGTTATTTTCGTGCACAGACTTCGGGTAAAAAACAACCCACCAGGTACATAGAAGTAGATACCTTTGTTTTGTGCACGCCTATGCATACTACTGTAGAAAAAGCTGCAGCTACAACACTGCTGTGTGCATAAACGGCAGCGAATAAATAGTACCAAGTGGTATTAAATAGACAAACGCAACAATACCTTACCGTAGTCGACACAAGATAGCTCACTCCGGGAACAACGTTTTCGCTTTTGAAAAAAATGTCACCCGGTGCGTGCTGTCTTGTGTGGGGGGTGTGCTATCTTGTGTACAGTAGACCCGGTGATATACTGTAGGGCATGTCGCGGGTGCCAAGAAGCCAAGAAGGGGGTGTGATAACCAAGGGGGTGTGACATCACTACCGCATGCTTGCAGGGATCGAAGTTGTGTACTTAGGAGTAGAACCTAGGGGGGGTGTTAGCATCGCCTGTAGAGAAATAGAATTACTTGATTTGATACCTTGCCTGTAAGAACTACCGCGCAATGGTGCCGCACTTACTTGTAGGGCGCGGGGAATTGGTACTGAGGTGATATTGTATGTAGCGCTGATACTTCATGCTGACTCCATCAACAGACAGCCTGGCGTCTTAACAAACATACCAGTCTGAACGAATGCCACTCCAGTGGTAGGTACTTTTCTCGCGTTTTTGACTTCTTGCTCTCCCAATTTCCCTGCCGTCCATGATTTTGTCCGTCTGTCCCCCAGTCTAATGCTCCAGAGCTACGCGTGCATGTCCCATCGTCTCAAAACGCAGCTGCTCTTGGAAACTAGGTACACATTTTCCTTGGGACTCCACCTGGTTCTCCCTCGGAGCGGTGGTGACTCCCCGCGTCCTCATACACCTACAACCCACCTCGCGCTCCCACCCGCTAGCCCGCCCGCCCGCTACTTACGACAATCGGGGCAGCAGGGTAGTAGTGGGGGTGTCGAGGGGCAGCCGGGCCCTGCCGGTGACGAAGCCAGCAAGGGAAAACCAGAGGATGTCCTCCGCGCTGGGCAACGGCGTGTCCAGCAGCAACGCCCAACAGCAACCTCCCGGGTGGCTTTCACGATGACTTCTACAGCCGCGGCAGGAGCGGCGGGACGGGTCGACGAGGAAGCCGTAGGTGCGAGGGCGATCAAGACAAGCCCACCACGCCGTGGTGAAAAGAGCAAGACTATGAACGGCAAGAACAGCACCGGCGCCTTGCTGACCTGCGAGAGCCCGCTGTGCAATAAGACCCCGTCTTTTGCGCACCGGGGTCAGACGCGGCGGCGCTTCTGCAAGCGCCACGCGTGGCCGGGTATGCAGAACGTGTACTACAAGTACTGCGATGCGGATTCGGGGCGGTGCCCCGAGCGAGCATCGTACGAGTCGGCCGGAAAATTGCGATGCCTGCAGCACTGCGAGCCCGAGATGCGGCCGAGGAACAACATCTGCCAGGTTGAGGGCGGGGGTTGCGACCGGCAGTCGTCATTCGGGGCGAAGGGCGGGAAGCCTGTCCTTTGCACGCTGCACAAAGGAGCGGGGATGGTGCAGGTGTGGCTTACAGCAGGATCTTCTGCGTGGTCGGCGTTGCAATTTGCTGCGCGGCGCAGGGCCAGGTGGCGTTAGAGGCCGGGCTGTGCAGTGTGGCAGTATCGGAGAACATCGGCACGTCTGAGTGTGCTTACCGTGGGGGTAAAGCTGGGACTAGTATTTACTCACCAAGAGCTCGTCTTGCCATTGTGGAGCCCCCCCCCCCCCCCCCTTGGGCCCCCCGCTAAGTTCCCCCGTTTTCCCCTTTTATTTTTGCCGAAACCACCCCCCCCCGCGTGGAAATTTCCCCCGGCAAAAAAAAACCCAACCTCCCTCTATGCCTTTTTACCCGGGGGGGAATTTTCGGGTTTTCCCAAAAAACCCCTTTTGTTTTCCCCCGCGGGGAAGGGGAAGGGGGCCCCAAAAACTGCAAGGCCCCCAGGGGGGAAAAAAACCCCAGCTACCGGTTTTCCTGGAAATTACCCCAATACTGGCAACCC